CTGGCTTTGGGCAAAGAAAGCAAGTCTCCACAGGTTTTCTTGCAGTCAGAGGAAACAGAGCTCTCCAGAGAGTCACACAGAGAGGACACCTACTACGGCCTCCTGCTCGGTTATCTATAAATAAGACAACCTAGCCTCTTTTACTTACATTTAGGCTTCACAATTTTCCCACAACTCCTCTCCATTTCCCAAAGTGCCAGTAAAACTGTTGTGCTGCAGCTGCTAAAGAGATTAAAAGCTTTTTGGACTTATTTTTATTCTGGGACCCTCAGCTCTTTCATTCACAGATGACGTTCCCTCAGTTTTTCAGTGACTGATACTCTGGTGGACTGGTCAGAGTTTGACTCAGCAGCCAGCACTTCCACAGTATTCACTGTTATAAAGTATTTTAGCAAAGGCACTTATTATCGAAGTCAGTCAAAAAGTCACCAGCTACATCTGAAAGTGGCAGCCTATGATCCAGAAAAAGAGCTCTATTTCTCACCATGCCCGTATGGCTTGATTTAAGGTTACACAATATATAGATATCACATGTGAATAATTCTGTCACCGCTTTAACACATTCACTGACCTCTTTAAAAAATTTTCTCGTGTTGCTGCTTGTAAAGCCTTTTTCCCACACTGCCTTGGTACAAGTCTGTAAAATCTCTTAAATCCACTATTTTTCTAGGCAGTGCTTAAGATCACTGCATTGTTTATGCTTCTCTCACACTGTAGAATTTAGAAGACAATAATGAAAACACTACCTTTTATGCACTTTGGCACGTGTTTGAAAATTGAGTCCAGGAAGCCTTATTATCTTTGAAAAATTAGAGGGAAAACAAAGGGGCAAGTAAAATGGAATTGGAAGGCAATGACTCTGTGCTCTAACAAACTGCTTGGTCTTAGTCCACTGATTTAGTCTTTTTTTCTTGATTTTACCACCTAGAAAATATAGGTTAGGATTTATGCCTTCCTTCCCCACACAGGTATTACAGATAACAATTACATGCAGGGCACCTTAGAAGTTTTAAGTATTACTTTTGGGCAGTGCTACTGAGCCTCTGGAAGCTAAATATCGAGTTTTGGTCTTTCTGCTCAATCAAGCTTATTTCTTTTTCTCTTTTATTTTCAGAGTCCTTCAGATCTTAGTGAGGTTTCATTAAAGAACAGAGTTGAATTCATCAGGCAGAATGCTTGAAACTGTCCCATCTTCAGCTATCCCTAAATTTATAGCCCTTGGAAAGAAAGGATTGGTCTGGATCTAAAAGCAAACAGTGAAGCCAGCCATCAATCAGGATGCTCACATGGAGTCCACAGTCTTGTTACACTGCTTCAGGTTTATTTAGAGGCTTCTTTTATTTGTTTGTTTGGGTTTTTAAAGAAAAGGAAAAAGATGGCTAGCTGAGATTTTTGTATCATTACAATACTTGCATGAGACTGACACGGCTGTGGAGTTATGTAAAAAAAGTAAGAAAGATATAAAGAAAAATTTTAAGTTATGGTTGCCTACACAGCTTTAACTGTGCCTCTTTCTGCACATACAGACTTTAAGTATGTGATTGAATACAGGTTTTCATATATTCATTCTAATGCCATGCACTTTTTTCTAATTTTAAAAATGTATTGAATCATTTAGAACTGTGCTATACTGTTATTTTTATGCCAAACAGATTCCATTAAAGTCATTTATATGGAAAATACACAGTAAGGTACTTTAAACAACATATTATAGAGCAATGGTAAACGTTTTCCAGAAAACGGAAGCCACCTCTCCTTCGAAGTAAATTAGCATTATAGTTAACTGCCTCATCTCCTACATGGCATATCTGGAACACAGCAGTTCTTATTTGGACAGGTAAATGGGCTAAATGGTTAAATCTTTCAGCCCTTTAAATGAACCTAACATATGCTGTGCTGATGGATAGAAAGAAAACGTATACGGTTCTGTCCATGATCTGGTTATATGCCAAGCTCCCCCCAGGAGACACTCAGAATTAGTCAGGATTGAATCCTAGATGATTAAAATGTACCCCATGGAGAGAAAAGACCTACTTAAAAAAAAAAAAAAAAACCACTCAGTCACTCCTGACTCCTATTAGTATAAAACTAATGGAACTCCTCCAGAGGTTTCTCCAGTGTGATAGGAGAAACAGGCCCCTGCCATGTAAAAATAAATTAATTAAAATTAAGATAGAACTTAAAAAATCTGACAATAAATGATTATCAAGAATACAAGAAGGAACACTACAAAATACCTTCGACGTGAATCTGAAGTCTTGTTTAAAAAAAAATAAGATAAATTACTTTTGGAAAAATTAAAGGAAAGTCTGTGCTTACTGAGGTGAATGGGAATCCTATTACATAATTTAAAGGATTTTACCCTGTATGATCATGTAATTAAAGGTTAAAATGTATGCACCCAGGAGGACAGAGTTAATGCAGAACATGGAATTAACATCAGTATTTCATGACTTCTGAATAGTTTGCCATGTAACTCTAACATTCTCCAAACAGAATTGCCTAGGGCTTTTTAAATAGAATAATGGTGGGGAAAAGACATCCCATAGTGCAGCTCCATTTGGCTGAATGGTATTGAAGTGTTTGTATCTCACAGCCCTTAAAAATCTGGAGGAAGGTTCTCCCTTCCTGGATGTGTACAGTCAGATTGGCACCCTGCAAGGCATCCTGAATATAGGGTAGTGAAGGAGTGACCTCCCCAGGAGCAGAGCACTCTGCAGTGTATGAAACAGAGTCTGGTTGCTGTTTCCACTTCACTTGATGAGAGAAGTGAGTTATGCCAGCTCTTTCCTTGCCATAGCTTCCTCCCAAAGGAAAAAAAAAAAAAACATACACACAAAAAAACCGACCTTCCTATCCAGATCTCGATCTTCTCAGTCCCTGCCTGCCTACAAAGGATTTGAAACAAGAACAGCAATATTTTTAGGGGGAAAAAAGGAGAGGAAGGTGACTGCTGCTCACTTCAGAATGGTGCTACATATAATAAGTTAACATAGAGAAAGAAAATCACTTCTTCACCTCTTTGCTCCCCTGTGTGGGAATGCAATTTCGGTCATGATTGCACCTCAGGAGCCACACAGTAAAAAGCCTTTCTGGTGTGAAGGTTAGGAACTGGGCACATCTTATCTTATAAGATGCTCAGCAAGCGATCTGTTGCCAGGAAGATAGGCTTCCTTTTGCAAGTGCAAATTTATGTCTGCTTTTCCTAGAAAATGAATTGCTGGTACAAATGTGAGTTCTTGAGCCAACAATTCATACCGCTGACACAAAAGCAGGATGGGCACGTACTGTTTCAGAAAAAGGTCTTGCTTTTCAGAAGATGTCTGCTTACAAGTGCTAGGGCTCCTGTAGAGGACAGGAAAGAGCAGACTGTGAAACTAAAAATAACAACATACATGCAAATATCATGTGCACTACAAGAGCATCTTTGGCCGTAAAATGATAACGTAATGCAGTATTAGAATTGCTCTAGATCAAAACCAGTCTTCAGTCACATATTTAGAGATATTTCTCTTCCGTGAAAAAAATTCTGAATTGAAAGGCACACTTTCCTTTTAACTTCAGGTAAAAATGTCAAATACGTCATTTACTAGAGGCACAAGAGCAGCTCCAAACTGAGAATAATTTTGCCCAGAAGACAAAACTTAAAGGATGAAGTAGCAGCTATCTAATGTCAAATTGGGAACTACTTAACCCTTAAAATAACCTTAAGATGAAGACAAATTTTCAGAACTTCTGTAATAAAGATATAATATTCCTGATCCTAGTAGCTCCTTCTTTATGGTCTCAGTTATGCAAAGTACTAGCCCCAGTTCAGAAAAGCACCTAAAAACAACAGAAGCTTTAGGCCTGAGAGCGGTTCCCCATTTAACTTGATTAACATTATTCAGTCGGCATAATCAAGTTTTAGGAGCTTAATTGTGTAAACATGAGCATGAAGGTTTTCATCTCAGTGGGATGGATCATGTAAGCCAAAATTCGTTGCATTTTTAAATATTCAAAGCAGTGGATTTCAGATTTCTTCATCCACTTTTCTGTAAGCATGCCATTTTGCCAAAAGCTGTCCCTCCTTCTTTTTTTATACATTTGTGATATTTTAATGAGAAACTGATTTTGTTGATTCTGCTATTACACAGAAAAAATGGGTTTTCCGTCAATAAGATGATTACACATAAATGTTACATAGAAACACAAGAGAGATTTTTTTTTTGCTTCAGAATTACTGAAGGAAGCATATTACTCACTAACACAGCACAGTGAATGAGTGAAGACCCGCATTCACAGCTGTGCGCCGCATGCTCCACGTGCAGCTACAGGCGCTGAAAACGAGCCATTTGGGATGCCCTGATGTCAGAGCTTGCTCCGTACTGGCCTGGTGCCCGGTGCTGAGGGTAGGTAAAGCCACAGGGCTGCACTGAGCGTGGAGAGCAGTGAGGCCCCCAAGGTGCTGATCTGCCAGCCAGGCAACATCAAAGCAGAGCAGCAGTGCAGGCATGCCCTCTTTTTTACTTGTCACACCCCCAGATGCCTGTATTCTTTCTCTCTACATTTCAGCCATACTGATCTTTAGAGAGCAAACAGCAGAACATAGAGTGTCCATGTTCTGGGACCGGCCTTTTTAGTCTCATAAAAAACTATTCATCATTATATTTCTCTACTGTTCTATAGTAAAATGCATCTAATACCAGTAATAAAATATTTCATTTGTGCCAATAGCGGTAAAATACTTTCATTCTTGTACTCCTTTAAAGAAGCATAGCTAGAATACAAAGCTTTTAAAGAAAATTGTAGGAGGCATGAGGAATGTAGTATGTTGCTGCTTTGAAGTGCTAAACATTTTTCCTTTTCAAAATATATATATTTTCTTTTTCAAAATTTTGTTTTGTCCTGCCCTGGCTTACTTCAACCGCACTGATAGCGTTGCAAGTTTCAGGTTATACCAGATAAACACAACAACAAGCAAGCATCCGCACCTTCCAAAGTTTGGTTAAATCCCCTACCTTTCCTACATAGAGAGGGTCTGTACCCATGTATTCTTCCAGCACAAAGAATTGGTTCCACACCCAGCTGCGTTTGGTTCTCGTCCTCCCTGATTGAAAGTAGGGCTTTGACCTGGACTTCGAGAGCTCTGCTTGATTCATCCCAGAAAGACACAGGAAAAGAGCTATTATCTGCAAAAAATGGCAGAACTCCACTTTGCCCAACTTCATCTTTTTTTTCCCCTGTGTAAGAAAAAAAAAAAAACCTTGACAAGAGTGGGCACAATTCCAGTTGTTTCAGTAGCTCTAGCCTCCGGCAGGGTGTCAGCTGGGAGTCCAGAGATAATAATTTGTGGAGTGGTTGATCAGAAGAGGTCACCACTGCTGAGTAGCCTTCACCAAAGAAATGGTATAGTAGGTACCTATCAGGGAAAAAGACAAGAACAGTTGTCAGGACTTTAAAAAAAATGCAAATTCTTTACAGTTTTTACATAATACCTCAAAAATTTTTATTTAGGACTTTTCTCATCATCATTACAGATATCAACAGAGTTGAGTTTATGCAATAACTTTCTGAGAGCTTAGACTGGATTCCTTGGATTTTACTACCACTGCTGATAGATCTGCATTTATAGTTATAAGGCTGCATAGTTTTCTAGTGACTATTCTCTTACAACACAGTTTCCCAGGACTAACGCAGAATTTTATTCTTTTTATAATTAACAAAACAATTATAGCTATTTTACATCTATTTGCTTTGATTTTTCCTCCTCTTTCTGCTATAGTCCATTTTACTTGCTGTTACCAAGACATAGTTACAAGTCAGCTATAGGCAGGAAGTTATACTAATCAGAGGACATATGTTAGTTTAACTCTCTTCCATATAACTGAGAAATTGAAAAAGGAGCATAAGATGAATCAGAACAATTTGATTGATTCTTAGTCACAGTACACCAGATGTTCTGATTTGTTCTGATCTGAATCTGACCAGCTAAAAAGCCCTCAGAGTCTCCCCACTCGTTTTTTCTACATTCCTAAAGTGAATGTCAAGCACGGTACAAAGTATATTAGACTAGTATATTTATATGTACACACACACACACATACATATATGTTCAGGAAGGTCAGAAAACAATTTGATTTTATGTTTGCAATGAAATCTTGATTTGATCATCGATGACTTTTCAGCAGTAGTGCATACAAATTTTATCTTCCTGCACATCTTGTTTGTTTCTATTTCAAAATCTTGGTCATTTAGGAACCGGAAGAATTCATTAAGAAAGAGATTCATTTAAAACAAAAAGCCTCAAATTGCATTTAAATTAGTCTGTTTTCTGTCTTTTACAGTTATGAACCTTCTCTGACCAAGTAAAAATATATATTTGATGCTTATAATATTTTAAAAATCGCAAGTTCTGTGAGTCAGAACTAAATGGAGCCTGGCATTTCAGGGGAATTACTTGCATTAACCCTAAGTAGGCAATGCTGTCTCTGTAATAGGCATCCTCCTTGTCTGACTGAGCAATGAGGCAGACAAGAAGTATTTTAAAATTGCCAAATACAAGGTGAAAATGAGGATGAAATTAAAATGGACAACAAAGCATTAATTTAGAGTTAACCATTGCAATTTAAGAAGCAATAGAAATAAGATTTCACTTTTTATACGTTTATTAGTGTAAATTGGCTAGATATTAAATCATATACAAATAAAAATAGTAGATAGATTATTGTATTCTTAACTTTACTATATTTCTGCTATTAAAACTGAGTGAAATGTAATTTCTGATATCATTTTTCAGCCTGTCAGCCTCTTTTAGCTATAGACCTTCTATATATCGTGCTACCAAAGGTACCTAGAGGGCAAAAGCATGAAACAAGTAAAAAGCTCTTTTGATTACAGACTATATTTAAAACCTTTTTATAGTAATCCCTTCTGTGGCACTGCCCTGCACCAGAAAGGCTTTGCTTAGAGACTGGTGGGATAAACCACAGACTCGCAGAGCGTGTTTGCTAATCAGCAGCAGTTTGAAAGCTTCCACATGTAAAGCTCTAACATCTCGCTACAGGCAAAATGAAGAGAATAGTCAACGTCTTACCTAAAGTTCCCAATTTCCAGAATGTGACATAACTTTCAAAATTGTTACAGTTACAAAAGACAGTTTTCCGACCCAGATCAAGATTTATTTTGAGGGGTGATTAACAAGCAGGCGTCATCCTCACCAACAAAGCAAATTTTAAAATGATTAATCCCAACTAGACGTAGCTCACTTTTAATCTGGGCCTTTGGGTAAATCATGACCAGATGAAGCATAACTACTAGGAGGGCTGTCAGGAGCATTAAGGACAATGGCTGTGCTTCTGACTGCCGTGCTCACTTCCTACCTACTTCACTTCAAATAAGAGATGTGTTGTTTGTAGCAGAGGCTGTTTACACACCCTTTAGTTTCCTCTTAACATCTAGGTTACCTCAGGTTAAAGACATCTGGTATTGATAAACTGTCAGTTTATTCCAAAGAGGCAGCAGATTGTTATTTAACAGAGATAAAAATACGAAATAGATTTTCTTAAGAAATGTCAGTAAAACATTTACAATATGTTAGCGTCTTTCCACTACGCACTTTGAAATGTCTTGTTCTTGCTCTGAACAGACATTTCAAACCTAGAATTGCTATAACCTTTATCTTGATCAGTGTTCCCTTATATCCTTTCTTTTACACCTGCAGGAAAGTATGAAAACCACCATATGGAGTGCCATAGTCCCCAGCCACACACCACAGCATGGAACTGAAAAACACACCCAAAATACCAACTGAAAAACAGTCCATATGCTAGACAGCACAATCTGATGAAAAGCAGAATACTCATACCCTCCGGAAAAAAAAAATGTTGTTGTTTACTCATTCTCAAATACTTTTACCACACAGTCTCCAGAATTCCAGTTATTTTTATTCAGCTGTGTGGCAACACTTTTGGCTCTGAAACACTCTTTCCTTCCTTTTTCCCCTTCATCAGGATAAATCTTCCCCACTCCTCTTAGAGCCCATTTTTAAACAGTTTTATTTATAGTCCTTTCAGCACGTTGCCTTTGAGTGCGATACTTCCAAAAGCAGAAGTAAGAGTGTCTGGTGTTTAACAGTCTTCTCTCTCTTGGAATAATTATTTATTAAATTGCATTTCATTATCTTTCCTAATGATATACACATACATATTTATATGAAACGCTGTAAGTAGATGTATAGAAAAAAAAATACTGTGTTTCTGTACATGCATAACTAGCACTTCAACATCACCTGTTCTGTGAAGTCCTTAAGTAACATAAGTAATATCACAGCAGTCATAAAACTAAAAAATTAAACTAAAAGGTGGGGGAGGATTCCTCATCAAGACATAAATTCAAGGTTCAGGGTTTCACTTGCCGCAATGGACATGACTAACATGGGCAGCAATAGATGGAACGCAGGTCTCCCGTTTAACTAGGTGCCTTCTCTGTCATCTTCTTTTACGGGCTTGAGTGTAAAACGAAGGCAAAACTGACCTGCAACTGTTTTGCGCTTTGTGTTTAAACATAGCCTTTTACAACTGGTATCCCTTTCTGCATGAATAGGACTCAGAATGCAAGGAACCAAGAACTATTTGCACATGCAATTGATGTCATTAAGTACATTAGGGCATAAGCACACCTTTATATCATGCTCCTGGATCTCTAAAATGCCAGCTTTCCCCCCTCTGCAAAAATGGGCCAAAATGCAGTCATATCTCCCAAAGCCTTGCATACATAAAAACTAACTTAGTTTTTAAAATTAAAGCATTTTAAAATGAATTTGATTGTTAATGTATTCAATGCACTAGGCTTTACTTTCCATATTTAAGTTTATATTTCCTATTTATTTTGCATAGAGCCCTAACATTCACAGAGGTGAAGAATATTAACTAATATAACTGGTGTGTAATTCAAAGAGCATATTCTGTGACTGGACAGTGGAGGCAGTACTTCTAACAAGAGCGGTAACACTTTCTCCATGTGTCTCCACAGCAATAAGAATCCAAAAAAAAAAAATCTATAAAATATATCTACTCTTGTATTTGTGTTCTTAAATAGCTGAATGATCCATAAAATAGCAGGCTTTAAAAATACACTTCTGAAAAATAATAATCTCCTTACTGGATACATACAGCAAAACTTATACTTTCTTCCACCTGCTTTACAGAAGTTGAACTATATTTAAGCCATAGTTTAGTAGTAGAAGTGTGCTAGTGAACACTGCTAACCTGGAAAATGTTACTACTCTACTTCACCAAAACAATCTGTATAATAGTGCCAAAAAGACACTATTATACACTATCTCCAAGGGGCAATTCTGATTTGATGAAAATATTCAGGTCATGAATAAGATCCTTCGCTTTAAGGAATAGTTCCTTTTGATGCAAGCAATTAAGGGCAATTTACACCCACTGAAATCTCTCTGAATATTTTACTTCACTTCATAATTTCTAAAACAAAGTATTAAAACTAGTCCTAGCTGTTTTTCTCTAGCCATAAACCCTAGTATTTGTGGATAAAACTTCTTGACTTCGCTCTCCTAGATGTCCTTGTTGAAGCCTTCTCTTCCCCCTCCTCCCCCAGAGAAGGGCCACAGAGGGCCCTGAGGTCTTCCTCATATCACCTAACCTTTGCAGCCAAAATGCAAATTCCTACAGACTTCCACTCACACATTGTTACTACTGTCACTGTGCCAGCTTAATCTATGAACCATGTTATTTCCCTGTCCATCTCTTCAACCTAACACAACCTTTTTCTCCTTCACACCATATTGTCCCAATGTCTTTCCAATGTGCGAAATTCTTCAGGAAGAGGAAGTGGAAACCCAAAAACTTTTCCATTACTAGGCTCCACCATACTGGATTGCATTTCCTTATTTCCACACTAACAGCTCCAGGCATCATATTGAGGTTTAACTGTAGAGTTTTCCACTCTTATTGCCTTCTTCTTCACCTCCCAGCCCCCTTCCATTATTCTTCTTTCTTTAAGGGGTTTCAATTTTTGATACTGTGGCAGAACTTATAGGTTAAACGAGGATTTCACTATCTATGAAAGTGCAGCCCAAACAACATCTGCCAGTGAATGTTGCTTTAGCTGGGACAATAATGCACTATTATCCCTTAATTTTCTTGCTTTACTTGAGCCTTTCCATAAAGTAACACCTCGTGTGTTGAGGAAATTCTAAGAGGGACTGTTGCCCCTGGATCTTGAACTATGATCCCTTAAACACCAAGGACTCAGCAGGTTAGCCTCCTGACAGCTGAACTGCCCTCACCAAAATATTTATGCTTTGATATTGCTTTACAACACTGACTGGAAAGGGTATCACTCTCTGTGGAAGAGAAGATTCCCCTTTCAGGAACTAGAGGCTCATAGCAATGTCACACGTACTAAATACCACATGAGCCTCTTTCACAGGCACAGGAACTCTGTGATCCTACAGACAGTGTTAGAAAAGCAAAAGTGTCTAATTATGGTGTAGATTGCAAAGTCTGGTTATCTTTTTTTTTTTTTTTTCAGAAAGATAAAAAAGGAAAGAAAGAAGGAAAAAAAAAAAAAAAGAAGGTGCCTTAGAGCAAGTGAGGTGGGGACCCTTCCATGAAATAAAACTCTCTGAGCCAAAGCAGCATGATTAAACCTATTAACTCCTCGTGCCAGATGACATTACAACTACAGACCACAACCTCCTGCCGCTAACTGGCCTAAATATTCACACGGGAGATCTGTAAATGGAGTGCACATCCCACAGTCTGCATCTGGTTACCAAACCAGAAACTAGCACTACTTCAAACATATGGCACTGTTACACTAAACTAGCGTCAACACCCTCTAACTCAGGTGAAGGAACCTGACAAGACAACAAAAAAACACCAGGCATACTTTGATACATGATATAGCTTCACAAAAATGCTAAACAAAAGCCAGGAAACAGTCTTCAATCTCTTACAACGCTCTGCAGTTGATCTTAAGACTGTATATGGCTGGAGTGCTAAGTTGTTTTTCCCCCACCAAAAGAAGAATTAACAAAAGAAATCTTTGATATCTTTTCCTACATATGGAAGTTCTTTGCTGCCTTTTCACTTTTCTATGGTGCATTTTATAGATCTAAGTTGCTGGAAAGGATTATGCTAATTTGATCAGTTATTAAAAAGAAATGCAAGCAATATTTGTGTATCTGTGATCAATAAAGTCAAATATTTAAATTTCATAAGCTCAGTTTCTGCAGCCTCATTTAAGTTGAGGAATTTTACTTAATACCTTGGGGAAGAAGTGACTTTGTGGCATTTCATTGTAGAACCATTGAATTCCCAGAGGAGGCACTCCTGCATTACTGCCTAAAGTTAAGCCTGCTTTGACAGGCAGAACTGAAGTATACATGAAATATATTCCTCTCCCCCCAACCCTCACTAGAATTAAATGATTTTTACTGCCACAAGAAAACAAAACCCAGTAGTAGGATGAAAATACACATGAAAAAATTGTGCATGATAAACTAAAGCAAACTGGGTAGCTCAGAAAAGGCGTTCATTGAAGACCCACTGAGTGTATCAGACATTCAAGTAATAGCCAAGAAAATAGACAGTAGAAACTTACTAGCCAATTCAGCACTAATGAACTGTCTCCCAAATAGTATATTCATCTGCAAATCATTTGAAGTTGAAAATATCCAATATTTTCATTGTATATTGAACTCAATCTCTGTATTGAATGCCTTTGAGAAAAAGCTGACCTGGGTTTATAGCAAAATAGGACTTTAACTTAGTGCAGAGCAAATTAAGGTTTTGCATTAATAATGATTTTCTTGAACTGAGTGTCTGACTGCTGGAGAAACAGAAAAATATGGACACAATGTGTACACATAAAAAGTTATATATGAAAAGAATAGGCAAAAATCTACATGGTTCCTGTATCCGTTCTGCTCATGAGACAATGCAGGGATAATCCGCAGTTATACAGATGCTTTACGATTACCCTTTTATATTGAAGGGTAAGAGTACTTTCCTATTAAATCAATAAAAGTAGACTTAAAGAGTTGTGAAGCTGTCAACTGATTGTTAACACAATTCTAATGACCCACAGCAGCATTTAATTACAATAAAACCTCACATTATAAGGGTGAAATGCCCTCTGATTAAAACTGCAATCCTTAACAGCTTTTTGTAAGAAAATAGTCTGCATTACTCTGCTTTTTGGTTTTTGGTTTTTTTTAATACACCAACATACACTTCTAGTATGCAGTGGTAGTTCAGATTGTTAAAGTCAATATTTACCTAACACTCCAGGAAGTTTTTTTCCTCTATATTAAGTCCTCAAATACAAGACTTTCCACATATTTAATATTAAAAGTTGTCAGATTTTAGCTCCTTTGCTTTGCTCCCCTTTCTGTGGATTTTATAGTAATTAATTATTTTTTAATCTCACTTAGTCTTTCTTTATACCCCTAAAAAAGAAGCCTGTATATATTAGATTTCCTACTAGCTGTGGGCTATGAAAGCTAGAAAAGTCAGAACAATGACTTTAAATAGGATGTCACGTTTGGTCCCTACGTAGAATTTTGGACTTTTTTCCCCCTTAAAGACATTAATAGCACTGTCACACTGAATTAGTTCTAATGAGGTGCACTTATATTGCTTATATACAGCCTAACTTCACTTTTGCAGTGTTTTAAAGTGTTGTGATATTGCTAAGAGCAAACCAGCGTCATGTTTCCTAACTGATCTTTATCTGTTGACCTGTTGTACTTTCAAAAGCCGTATGCTAGGCAAATTTCATTTACTTACTTACACAACTTTCATGCTATTAATCTAACTTGTCCATCTGGATGGCTGTTGTGCCCTCCTCACCTGAGATTATGTAGACCTATCTTTTTCAGAACCAGAATAGGTATCTAGCTTTTAAGAGTAACAATTCCCCGTGAAGTTCAAATGATGTGAAACGGAGGAACAATTAGTAAATATAATAAAGATAAAAAAGCAAAGTCACACATCACTACCAAGCAGAGTCTTAGAAACTAGCATTCATGAGAGTTTGGCTTCTTTATTTATTTGTCCTGCAAAAGGATTTATTTTCTGTAAAGCTTTATGATCACCTATGTTCTAGCTGAAAAATGGCAAGGTAGTATGTCTTGTTAGAGAAACTATAAAGTATATTTTGTCCTTTCAAGTCTCTGTTTTGACTTAAGAAGTTAGCTATCAGAACAGAAGATTTTTTCATGCAATAGGGAAAGATTAAAGTATCACTGTCTCAATTCCCAGAATCACAGCTCCTCACTAGCCTCCATCTCCCCTCACTCCTTAAATCCCTCTTTTGGCCAAGGAAGTCATCACTTGCAGAGTTGTGGCTCACCTGAACTCCATCACCTTTTGAAAGCACAGGTATAAGAGCTAAACCTTATCTCAAAAAGGATTTTTTCCCCCCCTGCTTACCAACTGGAAATCTGAGGATCCAGATCATAAAACGCTTAGTACCAGTGCATACAATCTATTATAGGAAAGCAGGACATGCCTGGTTATGGGTATGTGGATAGACTGGGGGGTGCAGGGAGGGAGGGTCAGTATCAAACAGTCAAGCACTGCAGAGCTAACCTTACCAGCTGAATACTAATTAAAGAAATAAGCTCCTATCATTTCCACATTTTCAAACTCCAGAACATCCTTGACATAAAAGGAGAAAAGCTCCGGAAAATAACTTACAAAATTTCCTGCCGTCAGTAATCTTTTGCTCTGTAGCATCAGTGCTGTGCTTTGAGATCAAGCAAGAGAGCCACTTTAGTGTGGTGGAAAGGACTAAGGAAGACAAGACTTAGCGCTGCCTGCATTTTGCAGGAGTCTCTGCTCCTCCCTTCCCCCGCTCCATCTCGCCGCTCGTCTGTGAGACTTATCCAAAGGGTCAGCTATTCTCTTATTTTTTCAGAAGGTGCACACACACACGTATGTCATTAATGCTCTTTGCTTCCCACGGTTTCTGCGCCACATCTGGTGCTCGTATTTCTGAGGGCTGTTCCCAGAGCCACACGCACACGCTGCTCTGGCTGTTCCCCTCCAGTCCCTTCCTCATCGCTGTGAGCTCAAGCGAAATTAAACTTCTCACTGCGCCTAAAGCCAAGCTGCCCTACTGACTCCGCAGAGCAGCATCCCATCCTTCACGAGGGAACAGTTTGCGGGGAAGAGGGAGACAAACCGGAGGCATCCTTTCCCCACAACTGCTCCGATCTCCCTCTGCCTACCTGGAGGGGCGGGAAAAAAA